GTTTTACAATGGTCTTTTTTTTTTAACCACAGAAGTCACAGCCTTCCCCATCACGGGTACCCCATTAGATTTTTAAATCAGCCAACTCAAACTGGTGCACTACTAGATAAGAAATCTAATAAACACAAAAGCTGTAGCCTGATAAACCAAACTCAATGTGAGATTAAACATGTAATTTAACCAAACTTGCAGGCAAAAATTATTTTGGCTGCTGACGGGTGGGGCTAGTTTATTAGGCTACAAAAGCTCTTGATGTTCTCCAACATTTGTCACAATGAACTCTGCATTTTCAACAGATACTTTGAAAAAGCAGATATATTATGCCTATAGCATGCACTAGTTAAATTAAACTAAATTAATTGCTAAAAGGTATCAACAACCTCACAAAAATAGCTCAGCGCCCTGTTGATTGCTCAGTTATTGTCTCCTAAAAATTTTTAAATATTGGCAAGAAGTTACAATCGGAAAATAGCAACCAAACAGTTGCCAGGGAGGTTATTCAGATCAATGACTCCTACTAAATATTCCCGGGTAATTTTGCTTAAATAAATAGTGATTAATAATTTCAGTTTGCACCATTTGCCAACTTGTGTCAACTATGTTAAATTAGTAATAACCTTCTCAAACTTAGGCAGAAGCACGCAGATTACCAGTGTGTGGATAAGAGGAAGACAGAAGAATAACAATGCAAAATATGGAGTTAATAATGGTAATTACCTGGGTTTCATCATGTACAGTAATTGGTAACAATTGAGAGGTGTAGAGGAGAGTGGAAATAGGTTGGAGTAAAGGAAGAAATTAATCAGGGATGACTTGTAAAAGAAATGAAGCTGTGAAAATGAAATAAAAATGTTTGAAAGTTGTAGATGTGAATTTTAGGTAAGAGACCAAAAATAAGGATATAGAGCTGAATATGAACATGGGATATTTTAAGATTTTAAACCAAGAATCATCTTCCCTCCAGCTGATACACTCTTGTCATATTAATATGGTTTCAACCAAAAGATGGTCTGGTCCACGAAGCTGAAGCTAATGACAAATCTGAGAGGACAGATAAGAAAAGTGGATTTCTATAATCTTAAAAAAGCTCATATTAAAAACCACAGCAGTTAAAGCGAACCTTTACACCAAACAATAGGTTATAAAATAGCATTTGCATGAATCACTCTGACGTTTTAGAGGTAGGAGTTGTTTAAAGAAAGTAGAAGTCAAATTTGGACTTTGCCCTTCTTTAAATAGCAGAGGTGTTAAGCCTGAACAAAATACTGACCATGTAGATCCGCTGTTTATTAGAACTGACAAAAAACTAATTCTTTAATCATTATTGGCACAAAGAAAATTACAGAGAGGTAATGTATGAGATTGTGAGAGGAAGATAACCAGGGTTATAGAGACATAGCCGGAAATTTTTTATAAGGGTGGCCAGGCAATAACCAATGCACACTGAGGAGTAGCCACCCCTGCAGGGTTAGGGATGGAAAAAGGGAGTAAAAAAAAAAAGGGAGTAGGTAAAAAGAGGAAATTACATAGAACTGATCTTCATTTTCTCATAACACCAATTTGAACCAATAAAATAAAAGTTGGCAGGAAGTGAATGAACCCCATGCATAAAAGCTTTAAGGAATATGATGGGCTAAACACTTGTCTGCAGCGTGGATAATTAGGTAAATTTAGATATAAACGACCATGGGTGGTTCTAGACAGGGGCCAACGGGGGCCAGTGCCCCTGTAGATCATGTCCTGGCCCCTGTACTGAAAAAAATAATACTTAAAAAGAAATTCTAATGATGATATGTACAGGAACAGACGTGGTTACTGATAGGTTCTTTTTCTTTACAAATGATGTTTTACTAATTATTTAAAGCTACAGTGTGTAATTTTCAGCGACATCTAACGTCCAGATTGCAGACCGCAGCAACATGAACATCTCCCCCCCACCGCTTCTCCCCCCAACAGTACGGCGAGCGTTACGGGACAAAATGTCTTCCACGACGTCCGCATCACCTACCTTCTCAAGTGATGAGGTTTGTTTACATAGATAATTTTACAGATAGTATTTCATTAGTGTGTGTAGGGTATAGATTTCATGTAGACTTAAGATAATAAATATACCCGTTATTTTTTCTACATCGTTGTGACGTTTTGGTGAGCTGCTTTGCATGGTGATATAAACAGACAAAGTAATTGTAGTCATTAGTTTAACAGCGAGATTGTGTTTGCTGGAAGAATATATATTCCCCGTTTACAGAGTCCAAGTCTTGCTTGTGGCACGGGGGTTACAAGGCGAGGAAGAGGGCAGAGAGGCCGGGGTGGGCGTGCAGCGAGGGCCAGGCGAGGGAGAGGTGCCAGCGGGGTGATTGGAGCAGAGGAGGAAAGGCTTGAAGATCTCCAAATGAGCCGGAGAGAAGTAACCGTGGTATATATCCAGAAAATTATTTTACAGAAAATTACTGAATCATTACCTGTGAAACGTCAGGGACGTTGCTGAATAAGTATACTGGAGAGTAACAGCATCATCACGCAGCATGTTATTGTCAGTGATGGGCAGTAGCGCCGCTACATGTAGCGAAGCTATTAGTTTAACTACATTTTCCAGTAGCTTCACCGTAGCGTCGCTGCTTTATTTATCAAGTAACTTTCCTGTAGCGACGTTATTGTTTTGATCAAGTAGCGACGCAGCGTCCACAAACGCTACAAAATCCAGGGCAAAACTTAGAAATGAAACCAGGTTTTCTATTTTGAAACAACAATCAGCCACAAGCTACTGTAAATAGCAGTTTCAGCTGACGCTCTTATAAGTGGCGTAGTAGCGGAGGCACACTCAGTAGAGTTAAACAAGCGCACCCTTTCCGAGGCTGTCGTTCTATTGGCTGGAAAGGTTGCTAGGCAACGATCCAACTGCAGTCTGAGAGAGCAAAACAAATCCGCAAGCAGAGCCTACGGGTTTGCGAGCGTAACAGAGCGCGGTTTGTGCGCGAAGAAAAGGAGGCAAGCGAGAGGAGAAAATATCTGTGCAAGAAGGGTTAAATCTGAGAGAAGAAACAAAGAGAGAAGAGAAAATATTTGAGAGAGAGCGCATGTTTTGAGTGTGAGCATTATAAGTTTTGAGAGCAAGAAGATGAAATTCTTTTCTCAAATTGAAATGATGTGCTCTTGCATTATGGCAGGATAATTCTCCCATATCTATGTGCCACTAAGATACTCTGATTAGAGAGCAGTAGTGAAACTTCCATATTGTGTTTTCATGGCCTAGTTTACCTGACAGGATGTTTACATAAATCTGTTTTTAGGCTTTGCACAGACAAGATGTTTTTATTTATGGAGGAACAGCTCTACCGTATATAAAATAAATACATAAATAAATAAATGCTCAATAAATAAATAAATAAGCATTCAATTAATTGCCTCCAAAAATACAATGAATAAATATGTAGGTAGAAATTAAATTAAATGGTGAGACATATATATATGTATCTCTTAATTAGCTTCTTTATTTTTTCACCTTCTTTTGTAAACAATTTTGTTTGTTACTTGAATCAACTGTTTAATTGAGGTCTTTTGTAGGGTTTTGTTTTCCCTAGAGATGTCCATTGAATGCAAACTCATAGCCATGTCTCGGTGTGTAGAACACTACACAGTACCTTTAATTTGGTTCTAATAACAGCAGATTGTTTACTAGTTTGTCTACTAGTAATTACTTTAGTTTTTATTTTAATATGCTGATCATAAAGCAATGTTTACACTGTGATATGTCATTGGCTGATCTTTAATAAATATTTTAACTAGTGTGTCAGACTCATTTTGAATTGACATTAGGTTGGTACAACGTTAAGTAGCTTCTGATGTAGTTAAGCTACTTTTAACACATTAGTGTAACTTAGCTTGCTATAATTCTTTAGGTGGTAGCTGTTGTGTAGTGAAGCTTAATTTATTGTTGAGTAGCTGATAGCTTAGCTCACTACACTGGACAAGTAGCTTGCCCAACACTGGTTATTGTAATGGGCGATCTCGCAATCGCTAGTTTGTTGGCTCTGCGCTGCCGTAGCGCAAAGATGTCTGCCTCCATGGCTGCGAGACCCGCTCCTATGTAATTATAAATAACGAATTCTAAGGCAATGCAAATATTAAGGTTAAGAGGCTGAGCTCGTAGATGATGATAAAATAACATAGTTATGTATAATATATTACATTTCTGACTGTATATCCCTGTAATTATTACACACTGTAGCTTTAAAAAGAATAAGGTGATAGCTTCAGTGGGATTGAGATAGGTTCCCAGTTTTTATCTGCAAAATCTTTTTTTTTTTAAGCAAATAAAAAAAATACTCTAATTTTTACAGCTGAATTTATCAGTTTTTCGAGAGTTCCAATTCAGATTTCATAGAAAATGGTAATTTGAACTTAAATTAAGTGAAAAATATGTAAAATTCCTAAATTACGAATGTACATTGACCTCATATGAAATAGAATTTTAATTAAACCAAATTGAATAGAAATTACACTTCTTGAATCCCTTGCCCTGTTTTTTTTTTTCTTTCTGTGCCCCCATGAAAACACACTGCTCCCCTCCTAGCCCCCCTGGTGTATTTGGTCTAGAACAGCCACTGCAAGCGAGTAAAACATTTCCAGCATTTTGAAACCTCTGCCTCGATCATGTACGTGATAGACCAGCAACAACCCCAGACTTATGTCTGGATTAATGTGACAGTAACCATGACAGCTACTAGCAAACATTTGGTTGACAAAGACACTGCAGATAAACAGGAGCAGCTACAGTCATTAACCCCCCACCCAAACAAAAATATATATTCAAAACAAACGTTTTCAGCTGAACCACAACAGCTAGCAAAGCTAACGCTTCGTTTGACCTTAAAATTAACCGATATTATTCAGCACACCTTTGAAAAATAAACGTCAGTGTAAATACAACAGCTCGGTTTTTCCATGAGGTACATATATTTTTTTCTTAAATCCAAGTCTGAAAGGTAGGAGACACTCACCTCCACCTCCGGGGGTTTGAGCGATCAATAAAGCCTCTGGTTGTCACCTACAGTAACGTTAGCAGGTCTGCACACACCCCACCACGTTTCCACGGTACGTTCACGCCGTGGGTCAGTCGGTTTCGGTGGTTAAACGCCGCCCCATTTTTTTTTCTTTACCTCATATGGAAAAGTCGCTGGTTTCTTTTAACTGTTATCGCAACTGCTGTATTTCCTTTGTCTTCTGTTATTAAATCCAGGTGTGTCGCTAGCTGTCTAGATTTTACAACTTTTTTCCCCCCTCTTTTAGCTGACCTTCCTGTTCGAGCTTCCGCATAGCCTATCATCAGTGTCCATCGCTCTTTATGGATATGGCAGGCCGTTTATGTATATTATTTGATACCTAGGATCCTTTTTTGCTCACTAGTTCTAAACATTTCTAGTTATAATAGAAAGTCATCTAATCACACTACCTCAATATGTTCCTGCAACAGTAAAACAACAACTGTAGTTTTAAAGCCTTTGTCATCTAGTAATATATTTGTGCTACATGTAGATGAAATTAAATTAAATTCAGTTTATTTATATAGCGCCAATTCACAACACATGTCATCTCAAGGCACTTTACAGTTCACCAGATCATACAGTCAAATTGATTCAAAGTTTTCTAAGGAAAACCAGTTGATTGCATCAACTCATTGAGAATGCAATCTCACACTAAGCATGCTTGAAGCGACAGTGGAGAGAAAAAAATTCCTTTTAACAGAATGAAAGCTCCAGCAGAACCAGCAGAAATGCTACCTTTGCATCGATCAGGACCCAGATGAAGGGTGAATGTGTTGTGAGGATGTTAAAGCACATCCTTCTTAATTCTAAGAACTGTAATCCTTCAGAATAAAAAAAAAAAAAAAAAACAATACTATTTTTAGATCTTGGAGAAACTAAATAGACAAGAGGTGGTTCTTATACGGGAAAATGGCTCACTACTCAGGGCAGCATTACCTGAGGAGCAGCATGACCATATATATATAAAAAAGGTATGTCCCTCATACATTAAACAACTTTAAAGAAAAAACTATGAAAATATAGCTGTATAGTGCAGGTGGCTAATGATGCTTTAATGGGTTTCTGATTAATTTGGCTGTAGTCTAAATGGCATTTTTTGTCATATTTAAAAGATTTTATCATATCTGGTTCTCTAGTTTGGTCCATTGCTTAACAACTGTATCAAAAAACATGTTAGTTGGGACTTTATTAAGTCTATTGTGCATTAAAAGTTCTACTACTTAAAAAAGTAACAAGTTAAAATTTTTCTACCTTGTTTGAGCAAATGTCTAAATGAGTGGAGGCTAGGAGCAAGCCATGCAGTAATATGAACATTTACACAAATGGCTTGCCCAAGATGTAGGCTCACTGCATGTTCAGATAGTTTATATTCACTAAAAAGACAAGAGTCTAAGGAGCACGACCCACCACCAGCAGCCATCTGTGAGGCATTTTCTGTTACAGTAAACGCTGCCTGGATATGAAGCCAAAGTGCCTGCCATACCCCAAAGATGACATTTCACAAATGTATTCATAACCTGAAATCTGCACCATCTTGATGCAGTCCAAAGACTTTACCTTATTAGGTAACCTGTTGTAGTCATATCCATAAACAGCAGTTACTATTTGAATTAATAATTCACAGCAGAATTACTTACCCTGTTATAACAGCTGCAGTATGGATCTTCTTTTAACTTCCCCTCTCTCTTCCTTTTGTTCTTTTTCCCCCTTCTCGGCCCAGAATGAGTAAGAGCTTTGAGGTTGTGTCTGCAACGCTAACTTCTCTTTCTCTCTTCCACTCTGCTGCTATTAGACCCTCCCCCTGTGCTTTTCAGCTTGGAAAAGGAATGACACCATCCTCCCAAACAAGTTCTTTCTCGTCCGACTTTGGCCCAGGACTTGTGTATCTCTGTGTAAACAGCGGCCCTCTATCTCTCCTTCTCTCCCTGTTTCTGTATATGTGTTCATAAACGGTTCAGTCAGACCCCCCCCCACACACACACACACTTCTTCTTCTCCTGCAGCTCTCTCCTTTCTCTCTGGATTCTTGCAGCATTCTTCATTCAATGACATCAACCCTTTTACCTCTCCATGTAAGGTCAGGCCAGGGGAATGAGGGAGCCCAGAGAGGGGGAGATAATGGGGACTTGATTAGATACAGACTCAGAAAATGGTCAGGGGTTTGAACAAAAAGAGGTACAATGGCTAAAAAAAGTATGTTCCACCGAAGCTTGACTGTGGAAACTGCTTTTTATTTCACTTTCAATACATTTTGGCATTTCAATCTGAGAGGCCACCCTCTGTGTGATTGATACTGACTAACTACTCTTACGCATGGTACTGCATTACACCCTTCAGGTTCTTTCCTATCATAAGAGTGTTGTCACCTTAAGCCTGGTGTTAATGTGAGACACCACCCATCCTGTAAGCCAGCCATATGTCTGGTTTTATATCCTACTCACACACCTCACATCCGTTTTTTACTCATCTGGCCACCACCTTTGATTGCTATTGCCTGTCATAGGTGTCGTCATTGCTTGTTCAGAATAGGAAACCTGCTTTAACATGGTGGTGAGTGAAGCTTCATAAAACAATCAGTAATTATTTCAGGTAACAGTGGAAATAGAAATACTTCTTACTTTTTATATGCTGTCCTGCAGTTCATGAATGCTGGGGGGTTAGTAACAAGAAAGATTAAGCAATCCGGTATCAAGTGCCCTACACACGACCTACCACAGACAACAAGCACAGCTCCAAAGATGGAGATATTGGGAAATCCATATGATATAGATTAACTATACATAGAGTGAAAAATTTCAAGCCATTTTCTCATAATTTATGCTAGTATGCCTTACATAAAATAAAAATTCAATGCTCTATATTTCAGTAGATTTAACTACATATTATCAATACAAAATCGATATTTCAAACAAGAATTTTAATTTTCTGAAAAGTTTGTTTATTTCCATGCACTAAAACTCCTCATTTTGGGATCATTTTGCATTAATTACCATCTGTTTAGAGGTGATCAGTTTTTGGTTCTGCAGATGTGTAGCAGAGGCCCAGATTTATTTTCTATTCTACTTTAGGTCATCTGCATTGTTAGATCTAAAGCCTCTTAATCCTCCAGACAATATTTCATAGTTGATTCATGGTGTTCAGGTCAGTATAGTCTGCTGCCCAATCATGCAAATTAACATCATGGTCACTGAATCCATTTTTGGTACCTTTGGCAAGAGGAGCGGGTCCAGAGCCTGCTGGAAAAGTAAATCAGCATCTTCATATAGGTTGTCAGCAAAGGGAAGTGCAAAGTACTTTAACTTTTACAGATGGAAGGCAGAATTGATTAAGTACTTTAGAAAATACATACAAAATACCCCCCACCCCCCCCAAATAATCACTGATGATGGAAACCTTTCACTGGAGTTCAGGCAAAAAGGATTTTGTGCCTGTTTTCAAACTCTTGGACCTTTATTTAAAATGAAATGCTAACTTTACAATCACCTTAAAAGAGTACTTCAGACTCTTAAGCAACACTCCTTAGTTCAGGTGCCAATTAAAGAGCTTTGTATTCAGCATCCCAAAACCAAACAGCTTGAACTACACCATCATCTCTAGTGGTAGGTCTGTAGAGATTTGAATTTTCCTTCAGACGCACAGCTGGATTTAGGATTAAGTTTTGATTCTGAGTTTGGATCTTTAGAGCCCTTGATAAACTGGATGGTAAACTGTCTTCAGAGTCAGATGTCTTTTGCAGGTTCTAACAGGTTTTTCTTCCAGGATTGTCTGGTATTTTGGTCAATTCATTCTTCATAGTAAAAAAATAAATAAATAAACTTTTCTTAGTGTGATGGTACCACCACCACGTTGCATAGTAAAGATGTGTTTTGAAGTTTATAACTGTTGTAACATTTGCATCCCAAATGTTGGTAAAAAAGTCTCAGTATATGTTTGCTGCATCCAACTTGTGGAATGAGATCTGTACATCAGACTTCATATTCCTCTCAGTGTAGGTGGATGCCCATGTATATTTAGGTTGGCTTTCGTTTTGTGATCTATTTTCAAGTGATAGGATGGAGAGTGAATAAACCCAAACACCCCACACTCAATTTTTGAAACGTAGAAAACATGTTTAAAAAAACATTCAGTCTTTTTCTTCCACTCTTCATTTATATTCCAATTGGGTTGCTGTTTAAAATGAAATGTGAATAAAGTACATTGAGGATTGTAGGTATAACAGTGTGAGAATGGAAATGAATCTGCAATCAATCCCAACATCAGCATCTGAGACTCATGTTGAGACATGGCACAGCCATGCATACTCAGGTTGTGAAACTGAGGAAAAACTCTACGTTGAGCTTTGACAAGTTTCTGTTGTGTAAGCCGTTGTTGCATGGGTTCATTTCTGCGAGTCGCAGGGAGTGGTCACCGGGGGTCTTTGATAGCCCATTGTGCCACAACAGGACAGGAATGTTTCCAGTTTCTTGTCAATTCCACTTCCACTCCATGCTTTCCACAGAGACCATTGTTAATGTGCAGCCAAATATGACCCTCCTTATCTTGTCTGCAGCTCCCTGTTCCACTGATATTAAATAAAAGGTCTTTGTTTGTTGTTTTGATCCCCCCCTGTTTTTCAAGGTTGTTTTGTAATTCACAGGTGAGGGAGGTAATTTTTTGGCTTATTTGGGTTTCCAGCTTGAAGCTCTGTGTGGTTCTCTTTGATTGAACTTCAGATCATGCAGAGAGAAAGGACTTCTCAGGCTCTGTAAAGGTAATAAAAAAAAACAAAAAAAAAAAAACAGGAGGCCATCGGATTGAGAGCCAGACGTGTTGGAATGCAGCCAGGGCTCGGAATAAGCAGTTCCCTCACCCCTCCCTCTGTAATGTGCCAACTTTTTGTCTCCTTCCCTCCAAAAATGCAGCATTTTTTTTTTTCACAGTTTCTCTCCTTGGTTTCCGAGTTTGTGTTCCAGACTGGGCTTTATTTCCAGCCCCTTGGCATAAAATTATTACCTTCTCACATTACCTCAGCCCTTATTATAAACAAGCTAATTATTTCTATTCAATCCAGACACTTTGCCTGTGGAGCTTTGTTTGTCTTTCAAAGGAAATATTCATTGTCTTTTCCAGGAAGAACCTGACTGACATTTCAAGGTAAAGCAAATTTGTAGAACGCTGATATAAATGTAAATATATATGTATATATTTAATAACCAAAGAGTCTCATCTTACTCATCTCACAAAGTTTGGTTGTTTTGTTATAATAATTTTTTAGGGTTCAGAGAAAGAAAGTAAGAGTTCAAAGACGA